GTGGCTCGCCAAATGTCGTCTGTGGCTCGCCAAATGTCGTCTGTGGCTCGCCAAATTTCGTCTGTGGCTCGCCAAATTTCGTCTGTGGCTCGCCAAATTTCGTCTGTGGCTCGCCAAATTTCGTCTGTGGCTCGGCAAATTTCGTCTGTGGCTCGCCAAATGTCGTCTGTGGCTCGCCAAATTTCGGCTGTGGCTCGCCAAATGTCGTCTGTGTCTCGCCAAATGTCGTCTGTGGCTCGCCAAATGTCGTCTGTGGCTCGCCAAATGTCGTCTGTGGCTAGCCAAATGTCGTCTGTGGCTCGCCAAATGTCGTCTGTGGCTCGCCAAATGTCGTCTGTGGCTCGCCAAATGTCGTCTGTGGCTCGCCAAATGTCGTCTGTGGCTCGCCAAATGTCGTCTGTGGCTCGCCAAATGTCGTCTGTGGCTCGCCAAATGTCGTCTGTGGCTCGCCAAATGTCGTCTGTGGCTCGCCAAATGTCGTCTGTGGCTCGCCAAATGTCGTCTGTGGCTCGCCAAATGTCGTCTGTGGCTCGCCAAATGTCGTCTGTGGCTCGCCAAATGTCGTCTGTGGCTCGCCAAATTTCGTCTGTGGCTCGCCAAATTTCGTCTGTGGCTCGCCAAATTTCGTCTGTGGCTCGCCAAATTTCGTCTGTGGCTCGCCAAATTTCGTCTGTGGCTCGCCAAATTTCGTCTGTGGCTCGCCAAATGTCGTCTGTGGCTCGCCAAATGTCGTCTGTGGCTCGCCAAATGTCGTCTGTGGCTTGCCAAATTGCGTCTGTGGCTCGCCAAATGTCGTCTGTGGCTTGCCAAATTGCGTCTGTGGCTCGCCAAATGTCGTCTGTGGCTCGCCAAATGCCGTCTGTGGCTCGCCAAATGTCGTCTGTGGCTCGCCAAATGTCGTCTGTGGCTCGCCAAATAGCGCCTGTGGATGCAGCTCTTAACTCTCTGTTACCTATTCCTTGCGAATTGAACGGGATCATTAGGTGAAAGGTAACGCTGCCCAAACACTGCAGCCCTACCGCGGGGGCTGGAACCCGGAGCCTTTCGGCTGTGACGCGACAGTGCTTATACCACTGCGCCACAGGAGGTGGGTGTGTAGCGCACGTTGGATAATACAATTTTTTTTTTTTTACCATAGATTCTCTCGCACCTTATCAGGTGATATATTCACTCTAATGTGTGTGTTTGTTGATATAAGACTACTTTAATATCTTACCCACCCCTCGTCCCATCCCAAATCCTTTTCCTGGACCCCTTCCCAGTGCTATATAGTCGTAATGGCTTGGCGCTTTCTCCTGATAGTTTCCTTCCCTTGTGAGAGAGAGAGAGAGAGACACACACACACACACACACACACACACACACACACACACACACACACACACACACACACACACACAAGATACAGGAATATGGAAACGGGAATAATAGATTCATTACGTACACTAATAATCTTAAAAGCGACCTGTATATTATGTTTTGGTAATCAGATCACCCACCGGAGCTAATGGCCCCAACAGAACATAAGAATGAAGGTAACTGCAAAAGGCCTATTGGGGCCCATACGAGGCAGCTCCTATTTATATCCACCCCAATCTCATTCATATATATGTCTAACCTACTCTTGAAACAATGGAGGGATCCTACTTCTATTATGCGGTAATTAGTTCCACAAATCAACAACCCTGTTACGGAATAAGTATTTACCAGAAGAACACCCCCCCCCCCCTCAAGTCTCCTGAAATGAGTGACACCAAGAAAAAAATAAGAAAAATACGAACACTGTGGTACACAAATGCGTACAATTTTGGGAAAAAATTATTTTTCCAGACTGTTCAAAAATGGATAATGAGAGGCTAATACGCATTCAATTGAGAAAACTAACAATCGTTTTAACGACTATTCATGCCCGTGCCACCTCTAGGGTGGCTTAATCCTCTTCAGTCAAGAACATCTGAGCTAGACTCTATGATTCCCCTATATTTCTCTTTCAGACACGGGAGACATCTCCCGTCACGCAGGGTGCAGTCGCACCTCCACAGATCTCCACTATCAGCTCTTGATACTGATAATGGCTCAAAAGGGCCACCACTTACGGGCTATTCATGCCCGTGCCACCTTTTGGGTGGCTTAATCTTTATCAATCAATCAACCTCTTACAGAGACAGACAGTTGAGAAAATTGAAGATGCAAGAGAGACACTGACGAGCCTCGCCTGGTGTAAGCTTCTTCAGTGACTGAACCGAAGCAGGCTATAGTAACGGATCATCTAAAGTTGGTCTCCAAACACGATTATGGAGTTTGTGAAGGGAAAATCCTGCTTAGCAAATTTACGAGGCGACAGAAACCAAAGGTGCTCCGAAAAGATGTCTTTATAAAATATAGTCCATCTGAATGCCAAGTTCTGAGAATACGCACAAGCAACAACCCCGAGTAACGCTGGATACCCCTTTCTAAAACTAATTTAGACAAGGTCCATGAAGCAAACTTAAGAAAAATGGAATAAACTTAAATAGATTCAAAGCAAACAAGATAGCAAATATATAAAACAAATAGATTCAAAGCAAAGAAAAATAGAAGAAACTTGAAGAAAAATAGAAACAAACTTCAGAAACTTGAAGCAAGACGCATCTTGGCCCCATGTACATAACCCATGCGAGACCCGCGCTCGAATATGCAGCGCCGGCATGGAACCCTTACCTAACAAAGCACAAATGTGTAACTAAAAATTGATCATATGCAACAACGCCTGTTCGCGAGCCGAGAGGCTTGATATAAAAAGAAAGCCTTTGAAAATAAGACTTTCAATAGAACAAGGACTAGGGATATGATAATGACATATAATTTCAAATGGATTTGTCAAAGTAAGTTTTTAAACAATATTTGAACGATTCGAACATCAGAAGCAGTGAACTGAGAGATGCAAGAAAAAACTTCTTCAGTTGTCAGTAAGTGGAATTGGTTATACGAAGTCGACGAAGGTAACGCAACACTCAATATAAAATATAAATATGATGATAAATACGGGAGACTGGAGTCATTGCATGAAACTAAGAATGTTCGGATGGCAGAGTTGGGGCCCCCGAACTTGTCCCAACACCTTCCACGAGATCAATTTTAGGCGAGAACATCTAGGCGAATACACACACACCAGCAGCAGCAGCAGCTTCTATCCCACACCAAGAAGTAATGGAGATACAAACAAATCTATAAAATCTTGTTCCCCCACAGAGCCGAAGCCAGAGTCGTACTGATTCAGGACGACATGACCCAAAGCCGATATAACATAACAGATTTTTAGACAAGAATCGGCCGGAGGCAATAGACCTGTCTTCCATAAGACAGAATCCTGAGCGGAGAAAAGGCAAGAGATTTTTGTAAGACAATGTTGAGCTTGAGGAAGGAAACCGAATTTTCTTAAGACTAGGGAATAACGCCCGCTCTCTTTCTCTGTCTGTCTCTCTCTTTGTCTCTCTCTCTCTCTCTCTCTCTCTCTCTCTCTCTGTCTCTCTCTCTGTCTCTCTCTCTGTCTCTCTCTCTGTCTCTCTCTCTCTCTCTCTCTCTCTCTCTCTCTCTCTCTCTCTCTCTCTCTCTCTCTCTCTCTCTCTCTCTCTCTCTCTGTCTCTCTCTGTCTCTCTCTGTCTCTCTGTCTCTCTGTCTCTCTGTCTCTCTGTCTCTCTCTCTCTCTCTCTCTCTCTCTCTCTCTCTCTCTCTCTCTCTCTCTCTCTCTCTCTCTCTCTCTGTCTCTGTCTCTCTCTGTCTCTCTCTCTCTCTCTCTCTCTCTGTCTCTCTCTCTCTCTGTCTCTCTGTCTCTCTCTCTCTGTCTCTCTCTGTCTCTCTCTCTCTCTCTCTGTCTCTCTCTCTCTCTCTCTCTCTCTCTCTCTCTCTCTCTCTCTCTCTCTCTCTCTCTCTCTCTCTCTCTCTCTCTCTCTCTCTCTCATTCCATTTCGCGAGAAATGAAAAATCACGACGTTTCTAACTGTAGGCGAGTGAATGGGCGGGTGACTGCTCTCTCCTTGAACCACTCGAAGCATTCACCAATGCCAGAAGAGCAAAGTTATTCACAATCCCGAGCACGTTCTGGCGTAAATGCATTCACTGTGAATGTGATGGAGGGTAGGCGGTTGTGCTCGGTGCCAGATGAGTACGTACGAGCGCTTGTGTGTTTGCGTGCTTGCGCTTGTGTTCTAGCGTGCGTGCGCTTGTGTGCTTGCGTGCGTGCGCGTGTGTGTATGAAGCAAGGTATTCAGATTAACTATACGAGACAACAATGGGTTAGAAACGACGGATGTTAACGGGAAATGTATTACAGTTGACGTATTTGGGTTAAAAAACAATATATATCTGCATTAATATTGATGATGAAAATAAAGGTATAATGAGTCCCAAGGGCTGACACTAATTGGCTTCACTATTGAATTAAACATAAAATAAGTTTAGAAAATATTCCTCATTGTATAAATCCAAATTATTTACATTTAAGTAATTTTTGTACATTAATGTGTAATAAAATTATCCAAATGTTCCAAATAATCTTAAGTCAAAGCAAAGTCGCCTAACTCCTGAGCTGTTCTTATATCTTTATTGACCAACAAATGAAATTGCAACTTTGCCTAATCTGAGTAATTCAATTAGGTCTTATTAGAGTGAGGATAATGCTGGTATTCACTGTCACACAGGACAGTGGATCATACACAAGACAATAGGTCTAAGCTGTGCGCGCGCGCGCGCGCGCACACACACACACACACACACACACACACACACACACACACACACACACACACACACACACACACACACACACACACACATATTATATATATATATCATGGTTACAATCACCAACATTAGACAGTCTATATGTTTCAGTGTACGAATATGCAAATCCAACTTTCTATTGTACACTGCCACACAAGGGCAGAGATACCTATTTCCTGCTAAACTAAGGCGTGGCATCAGGCGAAGGAAAGCATGCTCAAACATCTGTCCTACCATGG